GGATCTATATCGCATGATAATTGTTATTTGATTGATTATATGACTTTTGACTCATATGATACGAGTTCTGGTATTGTTAGAGATTATAATACTGATAGGGATGATAATGTTGTTGATCAATGGAGTACGTTTGCCGGATGTTCTTACACCGATCAGAATCTTGTGGCTGAAACTTGTTGTTCAGAAAAGGTGTGGATGAAGCACATTTTTCTTAAATTTGGAACTGAGGTACAAGCCATTGACCTTTTCTCTGACCATACTTGTGCGGCTAATGTTTCCAAATATTTTGTTCAACATTCTCTTAAGCGTACTAGCATGCGTTGCCACTTTATTAGAAATTTAATTGATGATGGTTTAATTGTTCATAAATATGTTCCAGCACATAACCTTGATGCTCAAAGATTTATTTCTCTAAGGAAATCCTTAGAGATGTGCACTCTCTGAATGCTTGCATGTCATTATATATATTGTATTGTATATTAGTATATATATATATATATATTTTATCGCATTGCTTGTAAGCATATAGGGTATATTGCATTAGGCATGCTATTGCATCTTGCATTCTCTTCACCACTAGATTCTTAATTGAAGTTCTGATTCTTCTAAAAACTTGAGCGATGTTGATTGTCTTAGACTGGCTGCGTGTTCTTACTATACTGAGGAACGTACTTATTTTCAGTATTTTTTGTTTTTGTCAAAATGAGTTGCCTTCTCATAAATGATCTAGAGCGATAGCTAACACATGGTTCGTTTCCCAATGCGGGATCGACTGTGAAAAGAGCGTCTTGGACAGAAAATGTTGAGAATGACGTAAGCTAGTGACACACATTGCATATTATTGTGTGATGTTCTTATGTGGAGTTATAAGGTGGTCACCCTCATAAAAACCGTAGTGCTATATTTAAAAAAAAAAAACACGTAGGATCCTTGCTTAAAATCATGGTGCAAAGTAGTGGGGTTGACTTTCACTATTGCAGTGATTGTTACTAAGTGAAGCGCACTATGAATAATATGGCATGTGTTCTTGCAAAAATTGAAGTTGTGGTTTGCACTACTAAGTGTATATACATATATCCGCTTATCGTATGTTCCTTGGGATGTTTGTATCACAAAGTCGGTCTTTGATTGTTATCATCAAACTTGTTTAAGTTGATAAGGAAAAAAATTTATGAATCTAGTGAATTTTGTGTGCGATTTTATTTTATTTTTTCATACTAGGCATATATATTGCATAAAATTTCCTTCTTTGATTGAATTACTTGGGCATTAAAAATTTGTGAGAGAATTTATTTTTGGATGATAAAATCTTATTCTTCCTAATATTGAATTAGTTGGACACATGTGTTAGTGTGTTAATGGATTTGTGTGTTCAATTTTGATGGGAATGTTCTTACTGCATAGTATCCAACATTTTCTTTGATTTTTAAACCTTACCCATTACATCCTGACATTTTTCATTCATTCTGCCCTCACTATATATCTTCATTTTCGGAACCTGAGAACCCCATTTTCATTTCACTTTCTCCATGAATTATTCGTTTAACCATTTGTGTTCCTGCATCATTTTCTAATGTGCTTCTGAAACACTTTGGCTGATGGCAAAGGCCTGAAGAAGAGATGGACAACATATCAGCGATTAGAGATCAGTTTAAGCAACGTCTTTTGTCTTCGGTCATCTTTATTTTTCTCATTTGATGTTCTTACTCAGGGGGAGATTTGCCTTTGGCATTTCAGTCTAAAACTGGGGAGAAATAAGATGTTTCTGAAGATGTTCGGGATTATGTTTTAGTTGTTTGCTTCTGATTATTTGTGGTTGCTGTTTTTGACATGTTTCTACAAGATGTAAGAACATGTATGTTTTGCTGTTTGATTATTTTGACTATTCTGACAGGGGGAAATAATTGGGTTACTCTGTTTGACTTAGGTTCTGATAGCTTGCGTGTTTTGATTGCTTTGATCATAGTCCTCATAGTTGTTTTGATAGGAACTGTTCTGATATTCTTACACTGCAGGTGTTTGAGTAGTTACTTCCTGATGTTCGAACATAGATAATTGCTTTGCTGTTTTGAGTTTATTTTGTAGGTTATCTTCAAGAAACATGGTTTTCGAACTGAATGCCAAAGGGGAGATTGTAAAAACATTGGTTTAGCATCATGTCCGACAAACCTAAGTGTTTTCTAGAAGATTTCTTGTTAAACAAGCAAAATAAATTAAAGAGAAGTTTTCTATTTATTTACTTGCGATTTAATTAAGTTCCTAATATTTATTATTAATAATATATGGTATATATTTATTGTAGTATGTATTATGGAATCCTAATCCTTTAGGAGAAGGATTACATAATATATATCATATATATATTTACTTACCATGTATGTCACATGTCATAATTAGTTCCCTCTTTCTTGTAGGACAAGGAATAAGTGGCAAGGACTATGAAAGGATAAGCTTTCCATACAAGAAGAGTTCTGGACGTTCATGAGAAGATCTAAGGAGGATTTGGAAAGATTCACCACAAGATCTTTGAAGATTTGGAAGATCGGCTATTTTTGGAAAGTCATGTTCTTACCCGATTCTGGAAATGCAAGATTCCATTTGAAGCTCAATTTTGAAGATCTCCAAATCATATGCATGATTTATACATCAAGGAAACTTACCTTACATGAAGGATTTTGTTCAAATCAGAAAGCAATCAATTGAGATGAAAATTGACTCCTAAAAGAAAAGGAAGAACTTGGAGAAGACTCTACCATAAGGAGTTGTATTATACCCTGCTTGAAGATCGAAGATAGGCTGCTGAAATAGTTATCCTCCATTCAATATTCGAGCTTCAAGCCTTTTTAGTTTTATTTTGTTCACAGTTCAGTTCAAGGGTTCTTACGTATCCAAGAACTGAAGTGTTTAGTTTGTTTTTCTTAATTTCATTCAAACACTTTTGTGATCAGTACTTAGGGATTAAGTACAGTGGTTAGCTCGAGGGATTCGAGAGATAGAAGTCCACGGGACATGGCCAGAGAAGTAATTGATAGGATCGTGTGTAGTTGTGGCTAGACTAGAAGGGAGTTCGAGTCGTGTAAGTCCAAACTATACAAGTGTGAACAGTTTATCAATGAAAAAGCTCTAAGGGGAAGTGGAACGCTTCCCTGAAGAGTTTTACATCTTCCGTTTATTGCTTCCGCTATTTACGTTGTTTATCCACGTTCTTACATTATTTTGCGCACTCGAGTTAAAAATATACGTTTCAATCCGTTTTATATTTCAACACCACAAAATAACTAGACGAGTCTCTATCAAGCCCCTATCAAGCTTAGAGAGCAACCCATGATCCGACTCGACTTGTCCGCCACCGAGCCGTCATTCCTCGCTAGTGCATTGTACTTATCCCTTCTCGTTAAGGTCGTGCACTCGTAGGGGAGTGTCAATACAAGTGCCTTTTGTATGTAATTGGCCACCTCATGGCTGGATTTGCTAGCCTCACATGTCAGCCTGTGTGGCAACTTGGTCCGGAAGGTGATCCCGTAGGCAGGGCTGGTGTTAATGAAGAAGTAGAAGGGGTCAATGGCCTTTCACCCGTGGGTCGTGGTCCCATGGCACATGCTCATACAGTTCACCAAGGCAACCGGGACCAGCTCATCTGTTAATTCTGCAAACAAGAATGAGAATCTGAGTAGGAAGGACTCACGACAGAAGGTGCCTTTGGGGCATATTACGTGGTCAGCGGTTGGGAAATAGTCAAGTTATATGTGTGTGCGT